TAGCTCTTATGGGGTTATGGGGTTGCATGAATAGTATACAATATAGGTATTTTATATAAATGAAATTTATATATTTGGGGGTATAGGGCTATGTCAATATTTGTTTGGAAACCCAAATTATTAAGCTATCCCAATTGTCTGGGAAATATGACTCCCTGAGGTGGATGGGATACTTTGGAGGATGGTCGCAAAAGCCCCAAATGGGCTTGGGAAATTGGATCCTTGTCTAACTACACTGGTGGTTGCATGGGTCTAGGTAGTTGTGGACCAACCAATGCTATGCCTATTTGCATATGCAACAGACTGCATCCAATTTGCAAACCTTGCAAGATGGGTTAACATGCATGTTAGAACAATTCATATCAACCCTTGCCTGTTGATGTTGGTTGATCTAAGTCACTGGATGCCTTATCTTTTCCATCCTCTTCAAGAAGGGCACCGACGACAGATCAAGGACCGTGCTGCAAAGCAAAAGAGGGAGATGACCATCAAGACCATTCAAAAGGGCAGCCAAAAAGTTCAGGTGTGTTCTGGCAGAACTTATATTTTATGCTTTGACCCCGAGAGATAACCCATAACTTTAATCACAATACATTTTCAAAACCCAGTGAGAAAAAACTATCTGGTGGTTTTGCAAGGCTATCTTTGGGTTGATTTGGAAACCCTTGGAATATATGGCAGCTAATTGGGATATGGAATGAATATTATCCACCTATAAACTGGAATCCAACTCTTGCTTTAAGGACAGGAGGGCGAGATTTGAAAGCATCAGCGGCATATCCTCGAGATTTTGGCCGTGAAGTGGCCAGGTTACATGTTGAGTCTATGGTTCCTCGGTCTATTGGTCAATGGGCTTGGTATATGTTTATCCCCCAAAAATCAGATCAGATCTTGGTTTATTCTGAATGTCATTAATTAGTACTAGTTATTACATTACATGATGGACATAACCTATTTTGATGTGACTCTGAGGCTACTGCATCTCAACAAAACCTGGACTTACATGCCCTGATCCGTGCTGGTATCAAGGACCCAATGTTGGCAAAGGATGTTCCTTTTTTTGGGAATGAACGAATAGTCAAGGAAATTGTGGTGTGACGTTTTGTGCTTTCGAAGTAAATGCATCTTCATTGAAACATAAACAAACAAATAAGACACTGTTGTAACACACCATATTGTTACATTTCTGGATCCTGCGTTTGAACCCTGCATGAATATGTGTTTAATGCATAATATTGTTTAGACTATATATTAATTTTATCCCCATAATTTCAATATATATTACTGCTATATATATGTGATATTATTTTATATCATGTATATAAAAATATAATATATATATAAATATAAATTTACAATTTATATATGCCCCAGGAGCTTCCCACTGGCTGCAACTGGCAGCATGGAGACTTTGATGGAATACTTTCGTTGGTATCCTATGCTTCTCGCCATGGAGGTTACCAGCCAGATGGTGATGTCCCGATTCAGCTCCAGCCTTGTCCGGCAGCTTTTGAAAGACTGCGTGCATGCCTGGAGGGTGGTGAGCAAGGGTGAATAATAAGCCCATGACCATCCATGTGACTAATTATCAAGACTGTAGCATAGCCCTACTGAAGAGTTTTTATTGGCAACACCCTGCTCCTATCCCACACTTCGGGTGTGATGGTTGAGATCGAACCTTGGGCCAATGCAATTTCCAAACCAAATGGTTTGATGTGGGGCCTAAGGAGTTTAATCCAATTAGTAATGTTTCGTGGCTTGCAATTTGCGAAAGTTCTATACATCATGTGGGCTTCCACATGTGCAATTAGCTGTGAAGCACTAAGATTGCAGACAACCGATAGTAGAACAATGAAAGCTTTGCACTGTTGGATTTGATGGTGGAACTGAAATCAGTGAACATATCAGAAAATAATATAGTCAGTTGGATGAGAGGGGTAAACCCAAAATTGTATTTGTGTGTAATCACAAACTCTTAGTCAAACATTTGGTAAATGATGTCAACATAACCTGATTGACTTGGATGCTGTTACAAATAGAGTGGTTTATTCCGGAATGAACAGCTACCACACATCCAAGGCATACAGCTTTACTATGACTAAGTTATTTGTGTTCCCCTAAATACTTGTGATTTAATATGTTTAAGGGTGTAATCTTTGTTGTCAAACAAATTGAATCCACAAATACGAAGCCGTGCAATTACCATCCACTTGAATGTAATACATTTTGGAATCAAATTAGGGTTCACAGCATTTGCAAACTGGGGCCTTGTTCGGAACATTATGGATCAAGTGAATTTTCTTTGCACACCTGGCTTGGGAGGCTAGGTGACAAAAAAAATGGTGCGTTATTTTAGCGTTATTTTGCGTTACAAGTGCGTTATGAGACAAAGTTACGCGTTATTTTGCGTTATTTTGTTTTTGGGGTACCAGGGCCTACTTTTCCACCCCTGTAGGCGATGGGTGTTTTGTCCAAACCGTCTTCAGTGGCCATGCGCAGGGCATCAGGAGGGCCCACGGCAGCCAAAAGTCGCCCTACACCCTATGACTTCTAGCTGCAAACTGCATAGGAGTGAACATCTTTATTTTTCCCAACCAAATTGTGATAAATGATGCCAATTAGTACATTTTCCCTTTCAGAAACTATGAATATGTGAGGATCGGTCCAAATCAGCATCATCAGTGGAATCGTTTTCTGCAAGTGATGAGCTGGCGAAGCTGGAAAATCGTATCAGCTTGAAGTTGGCACAAGGTGGGGTTAATGGGTTTAAAATATAATCCACTGAAATACACTTATATAAAATTGTTCGGAAAAAAAAACACCATGATAACGATCCCATAATCCCATATGCATTGTTTTTTTTAAACCATGGTGCTGGAGGTCCCAAGCCGGTGGCCACCCCAGCAAGAACATCGGCTTCAGTGCCTTCAGTAGCTTCAGTGGCTCCCCCAACGAAGGCCAATGGTGCCCCACCGATTGGTAAAGGAACCATGGTGAAGACTGAGGGATTGGGTGTGTTGCCTCCACCCGTTACTTCTTTGACACCGGTGAAAAGCCCCATCCAGAAGAAGCCCAAGTCTGCGATGCCTGAGCAGCCTCATGTCATCAAGCGCAGCCTGTGCACTGAGATGGATGATGCGGCTAGTGCTTCTTCACCCCCAATGTCGACTGTGTTGGATTCCTCCCTTGAACCACCACCTACTGGGAAACCAGTGCCCTGGTTCAAAAAAATATATATTAACCTCATATGGATTCAGAATATATTAAAAAAATATATATGTATATTCCCTCTCTTTCTTTATATAAAAAAACTGTTACCTACCTAGTTTGGGTTCATGTATAGCCATGGGTCGAAGTTGGGATCCCTTGCCTACTCTAAGGTGCCTTCGGAGAAAAACCATTCCCCTGGGGATGAACCGGCTTGTAACTTGGATTTAACTTCAGTGTCCATCTGGGTTGTGGCTGGGTTCTGGTGCCCTCTTGAAACTCAAAATGTTGAAGACTCCACTTGACTAATAGATTGTGATCAAATTTAATGCATTGTACATATACTACTGGGGATCCTGGGGTGTTGTGCCATATAAGGTGATCAGAACCAGACTCCTCCACCACCTGGTGATGATGTGAGTGACCAGACCTAGCTTCGTACTCTGGAGACACTTACTACAATTCCTTTGGGTCATGTGGATGAGAAAGAACTGGAAACTGCGATGGATGCCAAGTACAACCAGCCATTGTTCAAATGCCTCTTTGATTCTTTGGTGGATTTGAAGGAGGTTGACATCGAACAACTTGTGCTACCTGCGTCTTATTGGTTAGATGCCCGTTCAGATTACAGTGATATCGACACCATTGACCCCAAAATGAAGGTGGCATGTGAGAAGGCTGTTGACCTGAAAACCATTGCATACCAAAAGGAGTCCGTTGTGAAAGTGAAGGAAGGGGAACGTGAGAAAGCCATTGGTAAGATCAATGCTGCTGCTGAATTTATGATTTCCCAGCAGTATGAGAAAATCCAAAAAATGGGTGTCACCAATGTGGAAGATTCACCTTTGTTCAAAGTCAACAAGAACAATGTTGTGGTGTGGCAAGGAAACAAAATCCAGTTGTTGGATAAGGCTTTCCAATGCCATGTCGATGAACGAATCACCGCTGATGCAAACATGCGCAACCACATCATCGAGATGATTGAGATGGCCTATGAGACCTGGATGGAGACTAACTTTAATACCCCTCATGTTGGTGTTGACCCTGAGCTTTTGGGTGAACTGGAGGCGATTATGCAAGAGGGCTCTCCGAAAGCTACTTGGTTCCAATCCCATTCATTTTTTGATTAACACATTTCATACATAAACAAATGGTTCCACTCCAATCCCATTCATTTTTTGATTAACACATTTCACCCTGTCTTGGGCCTTCCCAGCTTCAGGCTGCAGAATCAGCGACACCAGACCTGAGCCAGCAACGTTTGGATGACCATCGACAGGTGATCAGTGGTGATGTGGGAGAGGACCCAAACAAATAAACACATGTACTTGTACCCAACCACCTTAATTTGGGATTTGATTTTAAGATATTGATCTCATGGATTATAGATCTTATTTAGTGGTTTAATATAGTTGATTGGATGATGGTTCAACAAGTGTTTAATCAAATCAGCCCTGAAGGACAATTTGGGCCAATTGGCAACTCCACAACATGTGATTGCCAAGAAGACCTTGCTTATGAGAAAGGACACGACCCAATTGGAGGCAACAGCACCAGCCCGTGTACTATGTTTGATTAATTTCAATCTCATGCGTGTTTTTTTTTGTGGGACACCACCAACCCAAGAAAAACAATCGGGAAACACATATTCCAATTTTGACTGGGACTTACATGCTTTGGCCCAGGTAACTGCGGAGCGTACTGAGAGCCAAGAGGTTATCACCTATTTGGGTCCTGGTGGCCGAACTGAAACACAGGAGGAGCATGATCGCAGACTTGCAATAAATGCAAAGATGAGGTTTCATCGCTCACTTTCAAGTATCCTGTTTGAATGTGGGGGTGTGATGGGTAATCCTGTTTCTGGGGTCAACTATCAGTGTCTATCAATTTTTAAGGGTACTGCTATCTAAGGCAGTCGATGTCCACCAGCTGTGCTTGAAAGGGCAAAGGGCAAGCGTCACAGTTTCTTGGCTGTTTTTTGTTTCCCGTGGTTCCTGTTTTGGCTAGCTTATGTACATATTCTGCTCTTTGCAGGGAACTGTAGGGATTCAAGTTTGCACATAATGGCATCCTGTGTTTTGGATGTTCTGTCTTGGTCTGATGGTTTTGAAACTACCAGTAGTGTTGCTGCTACTGAGATCGCCAACTCATTGGCGAGTTGTTCGAATCATGGCTCTCGGCTGGAGAAGACTGGATGCAAAGTAGTGTAGTAGCCAATGCAACACGGTCAATGGCTCAGCGTAAACGTGGCAAATATGTGATGATGGAGTTTCGGGCTTTGAAGACTCGTTTTGGAGGCCCCCTAGCAAAGCAAATCCTCACCGAAAAGAAGCAACAGCAGGAAAACAAGGATGCGAATGACCCCCTCACCTACTGGATGAAACATCCAGATGTGGCCAGTGAGGCCCAACGGTTTAAACAAATATGTTTTGGTGAGCCTTTTAAAGAAAAAAAGGTCCTTTTAATTCCTTTTAATTATGATGCTAATTGTTCTCATCACCTGTGTCCCTCTACTTTTCAGCCGCAGCAGGATTTCGAAATGGTTCGCATCTTTGACAGCATGGTCTATGAAGATGAGGTGCAAGATGACCTGACTTTGGGAATCTGTGCAAGTGGAAACTTAGATGCTTCACAGACCCGTCAAGCCATGTACCTTGTTTGTACATACATACATGGAACCCCACTAATTTTACTTTTGTTTGTCTTGTTGTTTCCATGTTCCAGCTGCATGTAGCCAAGGCAAATCGCAGTGGGAGGAGAGATTGAGAAACTCCAGTCTATGGGGCTGGGTATGCAACCTGGTGGGGGTGGGAACTCAGTGCCGGCTGCCCCGACTGAAAAGCCTAAGAAGGTTACCCCCATTAGCAAGCAGGTTACAAACAAGATCAGCTCCAGTTCTGCGAAGTTGACCGAGTTGATGGCTTGGGAGTCAAAGATCAAAGACAACACTGTGCTGTCCCTGGGTTTGATGAACATTAATTTCAACTGTTTTTTGAAGTTGGAAAAAAGTATAACATATATATAAATAGGGGAGTAGATGTGTCTTTCCATTTTGATTTGAATCCATCTAAAGGTCACCGACGCTACTTGCAGGGTTTGCAACCGAACTTGGGGCCCGCAAAGATGCAATTACCAGTGCCAAGACCACCTTGGAGAGTAGCTATGCAAAAACGTTGGGGAAAACCGATGCTCAGATCCAAGAGGACAAGGAGCTGCTTGAAACCATCACCACCAGTCTAGCCAATGTTGAAGCTGCCTTTACATCCTTTAACGGGACAATCAAGAGCATCAAGTTGGCAATTGAATCTAGGCTTCTTCCAAACCAGACATATGGATCCAAATACACCAAGGGCATTTTAAAAAAATATATTATCTGTCCCCATACAAGTACAATATTGTTTTGGAATTTGGATCCATTGGGTACCTTTTCTATGATTATCCCCCTATATTAAATCAGCTGTTATCAATCCAACTGCCCAATTAAGCTAAAGGTCACCAGTCTTGCCCTTTGCACTCAGGATCCTCCTCCCAAGAAGGAGCCCAAAGCCAAGGCGAAGGCGAAGGCTGATGCTGCTCCACCGGCATGATTTCGGCAGCTTGAGTGGCCTTGGAAGTTGGCAGTGATCTGGGTGTGAGTTTGGGTTGGGCCAGGGAAAATTTCCCAATTGCATCACATTTCATCAGCTTACAATAATTAAAATATACTATATGAGTAACCCCAGGGGTCCACATGAGATGGGGAAAACATGGTGGATGCTGTTCTCCCATTCTATATCTAATCTGTATGATATACAATTGTGGGAATCATCATGGAAGTCATTGTATTTCTGATGCTATATGGGTTTTGCATTTGTTTTGCCATTTTGCCTTACGAGGGATTAGCCACCCATATCAATTGGGATCATCATCCACAATAGTGGGAAAACCACCCACCGACATTAATTCAATCTTGTGGGGATGCCTTGGCCCAATGAAAATTGACTAGAAGATTCAGACCAAGACTTAGTCTATGTGCGTTCGAGATCACATGAGGAGCTGGGGTTTGAGTCTTGAATCCCAAACCATGCAGTGAACTTGTCCTGTTTGTGTTGGTAGCTCCACTCCAAGCTCTCTGAAAGGTTACCTGGAGCACCTTTGTGAGTAAGTTCCTGTAGGCCAATTTCTCCTTTTATGCAATTCCTTTTCAGCTTCTCGAGTGTCTGGAAAGAAATGTTGAGCCTGTAGCTCGTCATGTGATTCTCGCGGCGGCTTGGGGCGTGCAAATGCATGAAACAGCCCATGGCACTTCTCTTCAAATTTGATTTCTAACAAAGAAATTATTTACATAATGATTCCTTATCTGACTTTCCATTTAAAATCAAATTACTTGGCAACAGATTCTGTGCCAGTGCTGGGAGATGCACTTGTGAAAATTTCAGAGGTGACAACACCTCCCAATACAAAAGCCGACCTATGCCATGTGTCTTGAAGCTCTGCTCTCCGGATGAATGTGAAAAGAATCACCTAGATTTGGTGCTTTCAACTTTCAAGGCCACTGGACCTAAGGGTGTATTTGATCATAAGGTACCCAAAAGCCAACAATTGTGGTTTAATGACAATTTCCCTATTCTTTTTTTGGATTTATAGCTTGCCATCATTTTCAGATCATGCTGATACTCATTGTGGTGGTGTCAGTAGGCTATCACTAGTACTGGTGATGAAGGATACCTGGTCAACAAAAAATATTTGTTAATCTATATGGCTATGGTGATGACTGTTCTTATTTTGTAATTAATTGGGATATGGTCTTTCCCCCTGATTGGTTCATATCATGAATACTTCCGTATTTGTTGGACACAACAAAATCAAACCTCAAAAGAACATTTGGCTAATAGGGGAAAATAGGGAATCATGGAAATACCGTGATCCACATGGATGGGGGTCCCAATTACTGGCTGCCAGGCCATGTGTTTGACCAGCCCTCCGCTCGCAGGTGGTTTGCAACCTGGGTGCAAAACATCTCCGCTGGCATCCTTTGTCCTGCAGGAGAGTGGACTTGGTAGTGACCCTTGGCTGCTTCAGCCCATGGACCCTGGTATGGATAACATTTGAAAACACCTGTGGGGAGCCATGCATCTTAGCACAAAAATACCATATGGTATTGGATCCACGGAGTTAATAATTGTGGGATTTCACAACCTTGTGGGAAGCCCAGGACTCCTATCGGAAAGCTCACGAAATTGTGAACCACGTCCGGAAGGAGAGGGCATAAAACACATCGATGCACACATCTGTGGTACTAATATTGGGGGATATGTTTGCCTAGTAATGGTTGCCACCATGTTTGTCACCTTGATGTTTTGCCCTCCTCAAACCATGTGACATCCTGGTACCCCTGTTGGCAGGAATTTGAGTTTCAGGGATACCAACTCCAAGGCCCAGCGGCATCTCTGTTCAAAGCTGGTGCTTCGGGCCGCCATCAAAATAATATCAAACGTGACTGGTTTCGGAAGATGGGTGATATGAACTATGACCACCGTGTGGCTTGGTATTTGAAGAAAGGTATCAATTTTCTTTCTACCACTGGGTCATCTTATTTCCATTTTAAATTTTAAACTTTCCGAATGATCAGCTTGGAATCAAATAAGGCCCCAATCAACCATGTGGATGTGCCTCTTTGGGAGTATGGCAGTGATGGATGGGATGATAGCCCCAAGCTTCTTGGAATTATATCATCATTTTCTACTTTGATGATCTTTGGCATAAAATAGGATGATACAACATTTGTTTCATGGACCCAGGGTTCCGGGTGACTACAACCAATTAGTTGAGGACAATGCCATATATATCTCCTGATGAGATCATTCCATGGTTGATGCACCGCAACCTCTGGCCAAACATCCCTGATCGGAAGATCACTCGCTTCTGGAACCACATGAAAGATGTCAAAGCTGAGATATCTGAAGTTTCTCCAGGTGGAACTCACCATCCTCTTTGGATTTGGGGAGATGCTGCGAACTTTAGCAAAGATCAAAATATCATTGTGATTTGCTTTGGGAGTGTACTGGATGATGAAACTGATTCCATCAAAAAATGTTTTCCCTTGGTGCTTTGCCGAGAAGACCCTTGAATGCATTGAGGCATCATATGTTTTTAAATCACCCTGCAGATTTAATCTGGTAAGGTTCTTTTGGATTCCACATAACAAATTTAGCTGTGCCATATCCTGCCCAGGAAATGAGCTGTGGATTTGAGACACTTCGTGCATACCTTGCACCGGCCCCTTGTTTGCAAAGGAGTTGTCCTGCAGCATGGGCTTGAGGGCAGCAGCATCATCAGCAAGTAGGCCTTCAGGTCATTGGCTCTGCATCTGTTTGTGTTAGTAGGGCTACCCTGAGTCAGTTTACTATTTGGACCTGTGTTGGGATGGCTATCATTAATTAATCCCAAATCTATTGGGATGGCTATCATTAATTAATCCCAAATCTATGCACCATATACTTTTACTTTTAAGTGCACCACCCCAAAGTTTCCAAGAGAATCTGGTATTGGGATCCGTGGTAAATCATCTCAGCCTGCTGATGAGGTTGTTGAATCTTTTGAAAAGCTCTATGCGGGAATCGAAATCAACGGCAAGACCCACCAATTCTGCCTTACAGAGATTCGAGGGGATTGGAAGTTCCAAAAGGAGAGCCTGGTGGGATTGGGTCTGGTTGTTGGCCTGGATATGACATTATGTTTTGAACTAATTATTATATGTTTGCAGTTTTGAGGGAAGCTACCATCTACCCTGCAGGAATGGATGAACTTCAAAAACTTTTTCCAGTGCCGACTCATTTGTCACCAATGCAAAGCTGATAAGGATACCTACATGCGTCGTACCTTGCACTCTGAGCGATATTCTATGGAGGAATTCTGGCACCAATGTCTCAAACCTGGGAATGTTTGTCCCATGGCATTGTTTTTATATGTTTTTAAATTTCTTATTGTTCCCCATATTTCAATAAGGTTTCCCTGGTACATGTAATTTTTCAAGGGAACAACTGCTATGTTTTCTCATCTTAAAAGCTTTCCCCTTAGGCCCACTTCTGGAAATTTCCTACTTCCGGATGAGTATGGTAAAATGGTGTGCAATGCATCTGATACACCTTGGTTGCGACTTGTGGCTTGTGGGCAATGCTCTCAAGACATTACTTCTGGATACCGATATTTGGGGTGATGGGTGTGATGACGAACGTCTCCTCAATGCATGGCATGAGTTCAAACAATGGGCCCGAGAAAACAAGTGGCAGCCACTTGGATCTACAATTTTCATATAGATTTGCACAAGCTGTCACCAAAGGTATAATCATTTGACACCCCCAAACCACATATGTTGTCAAAGGTACTGGTGATATAGCCTCACTAAAAACCCATGTGGGATCATTTGGTACAATTTGGGACCCACTATATAATAAACTCCCATTTGGGAATTTTGTTTTGGTGGCTTAAAGGGTTTATCAGATTAGGATTAGATTGGATTAGATTGCCATCCTAGGCATTCCATGGGGAAGTTCAGCACAAAGACGATAACAAGTCGCCAGCATGGATACCCGGAACTCCAGTCAAAGGCTTGGAATGTTACTGGAATGCACTTGGTTTTTTGGATGTTTTTTGTGGCCCTAAAAAAAATATCAAAAAAACACAACATGATTTTCCAATGCCCCCTGCTGATTGCTAGGCAAGAGTTTGCGTGGCTTGGATGGGTGCCTTCCTAGAAAATCTTTGCCAAGATCAGCAATTTGAAAGTCTCTCTTTGATGAGGGATTGCGTGTGCCTTGGCTTACATTTGGGATGGGCCCTCAAAGGAAACTAGGAATTGTCAAAGTCCATGCTGCATTGATTAGTCCCTGTCTCTTGAACTCCTTCTCCGGCTCATCCACGATGGGCAATCGAAAAGGTTCCACAAGTGGCAAGAGGAACACATGCCATTGATTGCCTCTTGAAATCGCTCTGGGCAATGTTGTGCCGTACGACAGTGGCCCACTCGTGGCCGGAAAGTCTTCGGACACCAGCTTCGGGGCCAGGGCGCATGTCGTGCCACAGCACTTTCACATTCGCCACCAGGCGTTGTAGCCGTGACTTTTCTTTTCAAGTAGAGTCCATGCCACTGGCCATTGACACAGTTTCATGGTATTCTGAACCAACAGCATCTTGGAGCCTGCTCACACCACTTGCCCCAAGGGAAGAAGCTGGGATCAATGTGATCCACGCAGTGTTGCTGCCATCTTGTTGGCCAGATGGCCCTCCATGCAACATGCTCAATCGATTGACAGATTATGACAAATTACCCTCCTTCCAAACCCTGGGGCCCCGTTCTAGATTTGTGGTTGGTCTCACAATCAGCTGCTCGAAGTATCAGCGCGCTGCTCGAAGTGAGGTGCTACATGGCGGCATTTCATCAGACCTTGGAGGACCATGGTCGCTATTTGACGGTGGAGACTGCCCAGCTTTTGAAGGACCAGTCAGCATCTTGGTGGAACATGGCACAAAAAAAAGAGTTTAGATGTGGTGTATATATATACACACCCACATATACCCACAAAACAATATGGAAATCATATCATGG